AATTCAGGGAATTTATCAAAAATTGTAATTTTGTTGGTATCATTATTTAAAAAATATTTGTCCAATATATTATCTTCCTGATGATCAATTTCATGGAATCCAAAAAAATCTTCAAAGGTAGATTTTTTACTTTTAGATGCTGTTTTAGATTGAAGATGCTCACTTTTGAAAATTAAATAGTTTTATTTAAACACAAAAGGCATTTTGCTATTAAATTTGTTTGATCATTTGGATCAACATCATTTAGAAGTTATAATATTTTTTGTATGATGGAAATGGAAATTCAATTTCTTCATCTATGATCTCTAAATCATATCGAAAGCTATTTTTATTAATGAATATTAATATGACTTACAAGATTTTGAAAAAATTTTCAATATAAAAAGGAAAAACTTGATGTTTAATATTTAAAATAATTAGATGAAAAACCAATATAAAACTCGGCTAAACATCTAATAATGGATAAATTTAAATAAAATAAAATTTCATCTTTATTGAATTTTAATTAACAAATTATTAATATTTAAAAAATAATTTAATTTTTACATTAAATTTAAAGGAGCGGTGGAGCGGCGCTTATCCACTCCAGCCCTAAAAGGAGCTAGCTCCCGCTCCTCAATTTTAAAAAGAAAAGGCGCTCCAGGAGCTTTTAAAAAATATAGCGGCGCTCCAGGAGCGCCGATCCTTAACAACCATGATTTAAGGGCTTAGGGTTCAAATGAACCTCAGGTGTATGAAACTATTGGACTGAATTTTATGTGGCTATAATTATTTGTCTTTTTTTCTGCTTCTATGATGGAGTTGACAGAATAAGATTTGGACAAACGATCTACACAAGTATAATCCAAAGCGAGGGGTATATCTTGGTTCCAGGAGACTAGCTTAACCCATTAGGCCTGGTTTGATTGTCAGAGCTGAGGCCAGAGGGTTCTAGCGTAGAAGGAATATTCAAGAGTCTATTGATATCAAATTGATGGCATGCCTGGTTATGCCTTTTGAAAAACGCCAGTGTAGAGGGTGGTGGCTCAGGCTATCGATATGATTTTCACATAGGACACATGATATCGGCGTTACGATTTCAGAACCTAAACGAAGACTTATAACTATTCTAAGCTTAAATTAGAACTAGTTTCTAACCATTCGTACCCAATAGACATAGAGGCTGGAATTATTTAATTTGGCAAAAGAGTCGTATTGTTGTCATTATGTCGGGATTGAGTTTAGGCGAAGAAAGAGCAATGAAGATTTCCTTTGCTGGAGTATTGTATTCGACGCAATGCAGTATCAATGGTAAATTCCAGTCTCTTTATAGAATTTGGATATGAGCTGCTTGGAGCGTTTTTGATCCAGAGGTCTATTCTGCCGTATGATGTGGATCGTTAGTATCCAAGTTATCAAGTGAGTATCGAAATTTAGCAACTGAGGATAAAAAGGCTGAAATGCTAAGGATATGGGGGAATGGATACCTATACCACCCAGCTTTGGGAAGGTCAGCTTGCATTCAGGAGAGTGATGGGAATTTTATATTTAAGATAGATTCGAGAGTATTTTTTTTAAATGAACTTCGAGGTCTTAAATATAAAGCCTGATAAGCAGGTAAATGTTTTAAAATTCTATTGAATTTGTCAAGAAATTTATCTATGAAATGAAATATTGGATATGTGAACCTAGGTGGGTAATGCTAGTTTTGTCCACTACAATATAATCAGGTGATTCTAATTCAAGGTGGAAATAAAATTCGCACTTATTAGATTTAGTGATAATCCCTTTTTGGGGGCTAAACGATTTATAATGTATTTTTATGATATCATTATACGGGCCCGCTAGTGTGCTGTCACCGAGATACTAAACATTTAATCAAAGGTCACTATTTGTAGAGATTTCTTTTATAATTAATTGAATGCTTTGACAGAATAATGCAGGACCTAAAGGATCTCCTTGCTGGATACCTGTTTGGAGAGAATAATTGAATTATTAATTTTTAAAAAGTAGATTTTTTGTAACATGCTGAAATATATGTTGAATACTCTGGGAATGTTTCACAGGAAGTAGGTTTAACATGTTCCCTTCTAAATAAATTAAAAGTATTTTGAAGATCTATTTTTACATTTATCATGCGTATTATGGAGGATCATAGGCAAGGGGGGCAAGGGGAAATTCCCCCTTACCTTACCTTTCAGAAATATGTGTCTTTGTGAATATCATTATAAAAAAATAACCTCATTCGTGCCCTTCCTACCCCCTATCCCTAAAAATGACAGAAAGAATGTAAAAGTTAATAATTTTTTAAAATATAAGATATTATATTTTCCTTTTGTATTTTTCCGTGATTGGATTTTGACCATGTTATATATTGTGAATAAAACGAAAGAATCAATATAACAATTTATTTAATTGGTGACCAATTTCGTATATTTTAAATATTGATAATAAGTTGTTTGTATTAAAACTAACCTCTTATCTTATGATAATATTTTCCAAACTATATATAGGATAAGGAATCCAAAGGCTGGGAAAAGGGGGATCTGGAGGCGAGACCCCCATAAATTTATTAATCCTCCTTCTTAGGAAAATCCTGGCTAAGCCAAGGTGAAGAATGATACGTGTGTAGCGGGATGTAGCCTCACATTCTCCGGGAATATTATAACCAAGCTGTTTAGGTTATAATAGGATTGGTGTGATTTTATATGGGAGCAAATTATTTTAGATATTTTGCCCGAATACTGATCCTACCAATAAGTATGATTCCCATTTGTTTTATTTAAGATTATTAAGCGAGCTCCAAATATAATTGGCTAAATGGTGTTAGGAATATTATTATAATATGAGAGCAAAATTGAAAATTGTTGGATTATATTTTGAATAGGGGTGAGGTTGGTTTAATTAAAATTTATAGGTAAATTACTTGAAAGCTATTAATACCTCCAGAAGAATCTTTTATAAATGACTTGATTGCATCGAAGATTTCTACCTCAGTTAATGGAATGGAACAAGATTATCAGAGGGTGGAAGAATGATATGGGTAAAATATCTTATGGATGTTTAGATTGTAAAGCCCTAAGGCTTTTTCATCATTGGGGGCCATAGAATCATTGGAACAAGCTAAGTTGATAGCTGAATTTACCTTGCATAAGTTTATTTTTTTCCAATTTTTTTTTTTTTTATCTGTCAAAGTCTTATTAAAAGAATATTTAGATTGTTTGCGAAATAACTTATCACATTTTTTGATATTTTGTGTTAATTTTAGTTTTGATGTGTATTAATATACAAATTTCTGGGGTTTTTAATCCTCATATTACTCTTTGACCTCATACTGATTAGATTTTTATGATTATCAAACCAGTCCTACAATACTTTGCTAATATATTATTTCACAATCTCTGAAACTGAAAGAAACTAAGATAAAACAACCATAACTTTTCTATATCTAATTACATGATCGCCACAACAAAAATTCTTAAATTCTAATGACCAAATCAATAACTAAAAAAGGAAGGTTATCTATACCTTTATTTTAACAATAGAAGGAGAACACTCATGCCACTTCGGATTAACTGCTAAAATATACTTTCAGTACTAGACGCAATACATCATATAAATCGCCGTGGATTGGGGAGAGCCATTTGCAAATAACAAATCCATATTTTATTGGAGTGAAGCATCCAAAAACACAAAACAAATAAATGTAATTTATAAACTTCAGTAGCGCTTACGAAAGCATCAATAGAAGGGTTATATACTCATAAGCGCAGCTGGGATGTGATGGGGGGGGGGTTATTAGGTTAAATTTTTCCTAATAAATTTTAATCGGAGGACTTTAAGTCAACTTTTTGCAAGCCACTTGGTTTTATTTTATTTTTTCTGAAAATTTCAAATTATAGTCATTATTTTTGTCTCTATTATTATTTATAGTGTATTATATTATTATTTTTTTTTGGGGGGGGGGGGATGAGGAAGGAGTATAAAATACTTTTTATTACTTTAAAATAATATTCGCGAAAATAAAAAAACAAATCCACCCTTGGCTACGTATATGCATGCCACTATACTGTTTTAAGACCTTAGTAAAAACACTTATACCGATGTACAAATTAAATGATTACTCATTACGTTTAGTCTCATTTAAAAATTAACTTCCAACAAATTTAAGATCTCCTATACGGAATTATAATGGCATTTTTTTTAAATATTTATCATAGTAATCTATTATGTCATAAATTTTCAAAGTGCAGGTTTTTATTATATACATGATATTTTTTATGAAATTTAATTGGAGTTCCTATATGCTTTTCATAAGAACAAAATAAATCGATATAAAATTCATTTTAGAAAAGTTAACGTTGGATACTGGTTCTAACCAAAAACTTGTTCCCACAACTTTTATACAAACAGACTGACAGAATATCAAATTAACACCTATATCAACAATGTGACCGCACCACAAAAAAATATAGTACAATCTATCAAGCTAATAAATTTAACTACTTACCTTTGCACTTTACATTTCGCAGCTACTAACAAATTTATAATGGAAAGACTTAGAAAATAATAATGGTTTAATTTAAGGCGGAAATGTTGATTCTTTTAAACGTTAAAAATAAGATTCATGTATTTAAAATGATAATTTAGTTGATGATTTATGTCTATTTGGATTTTGATTAATTCTTCTTATGAATGTCTTTGTTTCATTTCAATATTTTTTTTTTTGATATCCAAAATTTTTGAAATTCCTAGCTATATTTAATTTCATACGTCTTTTTTTTAAAAAAAAAACGATTAAAGAAGGGAATTATTCCCGTTTTTTAAAATAATTTCATTTTAATTACCTCATTCATAAAGACTTTTTTTGCGACTTATTTAATTATTAATCTGTATTTGCACTTTTATAGGTTTAATAAAATACCATTATCATTCATTAAAACTATCGTCAAATAAACTTTTTTAAAGTTAATATTTCAATTCTCAATTTTTTTTTATTAACATTATTTATTTTTTTCAGTTAAAAAAATATCTTTTGAGTAGACATTTTGTAATTTTTTATATAAATTTTAATTATTCCTTCAAGATAATTTAACAATTTTCATGCAGCTAACGTATATTTCAAGTCCTTTTTTTGAAGCCAAAAAATCTAATAAAGGGAATTTTGTTTGCTAGTATTTTTAATTAAATAAAAGTTTTATTTTATTTTATATACAAAGATATTCGTTGTTAAGCGATTTCATCAAATCTATTTTAAACATTACTGTTTATATAAAAGAAATTTGCCACCCGAAGTGGTTAACCAATAAAACCAATAATATAAAATAATAGGATAGTATTAAAAATGTTTTGTAAAGAAGAAACCCAAATCTAATTTATATACCGACTAACTTGGAAATATTCTGATATGCAAAAATACAAGGGCATTATTAACACACAGCAATCGAATGAAAGGACTATAACAGACGACCCACTGGATTCAGAAATAATTTTTCAATCGTTTAAAGATTTAGATCAGAATACTAACGACCATATTTTACTAGAAGAAGATGATGAGTTTGATGACAAGATTACAAAGGATGAAGATATTTTTAACTTCGATTTCAAGGAAGAAAATAATAACTTAAACGAAATTCCAGACAACACTCGTCAGAATTACGTGCATAAAATTAAATCAGTGGTTGATAATCATGGAATGAATAATTATGTTAGATCTAATGCAAAGTCTCATTCATTGAGCTATCCATTCCATCGTAGATTGGCCATAGCTCCTGATGAAACGGTTTGTAAAAAAAATCTCTTTGAATCATTTTAAGATATAATAATAAAATTTACTTAATTTGAACGTTTTATTTATTTCAAATGTATATTATACACGCTCAAATCAGAGTAATATAGCATTGAATGCACGTTTTCCTTATAATGTATCCTTTAAGCTAAAATAGGATTGGTTGTTTATTTTGTTTTTTACAGGGTATATGGGTTATTTTTTTTTATAGATTTAATTTAGGGATTGGTTAATATTTTAAAATCTATTTCATGGTATATAATTTTATTTTTTTGAAGTTAAAAATAATTTTAAAAAAAAGATTTTTTGAGCACCATGAGATTGTAAAGGTAATGAGACCCCTGGTTACACTCAATTAGCATAATCAGTCAATAGTCAATTACTCGTATTACTTTGGTCAATATGTGTAATAATCTTTTAAAATTATCCAAAATTTATAGTGGAACATGTTGGAATACATTTTCCGATAAATAAAATTATTTCATTTTTTTAAAAATCCTCGTTGAAAATTAATAATTTAAAGTTGGTAACTAGAATAATCATTTTCTGTAGCGTTTTATTTTTAAATGTGAAAAATCTAATTTTGAGGAAAAAGTGTATTCTAGTATATATATATATATATATATATATAGAATATCTATCCTATATAATTCAGATAATTTGGTCATGAAGCTTTGAAATCATTTTTAATCTATATCCGCAAATTGACTAAGATATTAATATACTAACTAATATTATCTATTCATATTCTATGCCCTAATAATGGACACGTATTTAAATGTTAATTCAAATGGCTTTAAAAGTCAATATATATATATAAACTAATTTAACTAGTCATCTCTACTAAAGAATCGATAATATATCTTGTAAGTTATTTAGTAAATCCATTGTTTTTTCCCAAAAAAATACTCTAATTTATAATTATATTAATTGCTTAGAAAAAAGAAAAAATTTCTAAACAAAAAGCGAATATTTATATTCTAATATGTTATATTTAATAATATATAACAAGATTTTTAGGACAATGAAAATTCTTTTGATTTACTAATAACAATTATGATGTATAATTTTTCTATGTTTATAAATATAGCATAATAATAATTATTATATCTTATGGATGACTTTAAAAGTGGTAATAAAGATTTCCCATCAGGACTGTGGAGATAGGCTGAAAACTCTTTGCATAAATAGTTAAAATTTTGTTTAACCATAAGTTCAGCTTCCAATGATGATAACTTTAATTTATTACGTTCTTTTAGCAGTAGTCATTAGACTGAATATTCTCTCTGATGAAGCATTTAAATGCGGAATAGAAAATATAAAATTGCATATTTTCTCTATCAATGGTGAGTTTTTATTAGAAAGAAAATCCGTTCATTTTTCTTGGGTATACATATAATTGTTTTTGATAATTTTTCTTCATAATAGTAAAATTGTGAATATTCTTCAAAGAGAATATCTGTAGAGAATATCTGTATATTGGTATTTTATAATCAATAATAATTTTTTGTAATTGTTCAAATTCTGGACATTTTTCTAATGTCATAGGGCTAAGATATATCCCTATATTATCTATAATATTATAACGTTTTTCTACATATTCTATAATATTTTTTATAAATATCTTTGATTTATTTTTGAAATTTATTGCCTTTTCTACATCATTGTTATGTTGTAAAATATTTTTCGAAATGCTCCATTTGAATTTTTAAATTGAATGAATTCTTTAGTTTTAGGATAAGATCATGTATAATATTGCCAATACCATCTTCAGATTGCAATTTTAAGGACAACACCTAAATATGCCTCTGCAAAATCATCTACAAAAAAATTTTCAAAATTGGTGGGGTTGCTGATATTGATAAAAAAATATTCTTTAAGGGGTTGAAAATACTTAAGCATCCGCTCAATCGATTAATGTAAGCCAGCGTGTTGGAACATAGCGAAGTAATTCTGATTATTCTAAATTGCACCATTCTACCAATTCTTTTAAAATTGTAACTCTTTTTATCGAGTTGCTAAATTCATTATAGCATTTAATTACTATACTCTCTATATCATATTTGAGAAAAATTATGGCCTTTTTAAACGAATTGTGAAGAATGTGGCATATAAAACCTATTGGTATAATATTATTATTATGGCTTTTCAATTCTGTCCAAATACTTTGATTTTTCCCAAAGTTTACAGATGCGTTATCTGCACAATAGGCCTTTACATTAGCAATATCAAGTCCAGCGATTTTTAAATTTTCTAGCAAGCATCTAGATATGTCTTTAGAGGTTTCACTGTCAGACAAAAAAAATTTAAGTAATTTAACATTTAATTCATTCTTTTTGTTGAAGTATCTAAGTGATAAGGGAAATGTTTTTATAATACCTTTATTTGATGCATCGTTTTTTAGATCTTTTTTAATATTTGCCTTTGTTTCTGGTGCCAAAATATTTATATTATTATAAAGCCTTTTGTTCTGCCACATGAAAATATTGATGCAATTTTTGAGTCAGGAAAAGGTGTGTAAAATAGCTTGCTTAGACAATCAGCCGACATATAGCTATGGGAATGTTTTATGAAATGATATATGAATGTTGTTTCAGCAATAACAGATAAGGTTTCATTCTTAGAATATTCGATTACGTATGATGATATAGAAGTTTTGGTTCTAACTTTTTGATTTGCCAGCTTATGGTTGTTAGATTTCATATGTTTGATTATATCACACTCTCCACTATGGCTTATTAAAAAGCGTGATGCAACATATACCACATTTTACAGTCGACCCTGAATGCTGCTTTAACCATTCATATTTTTGTTCCCAACTTTTATTATAACTTACCTTATATATTTTCCTCTTTTTTGTTTGTTTATATTTCAATTTTTTATCTTGAGAATTATAACTTGAGGATGAGCTTCCTGAAATATTTTGAATTTGCAAATCCATTCTGTAACAAGTTCAAGAAATAGATATTATAATAAATTTTTAGTTTGAGTTTTAAGAAGATATAGAATAAATCAATTATAAATTAACATTTTCTAAAAATAATAATCTGATCTACTGAATATATATTACCTTTATTATAAATTAATTTTACTTAATTATTTTATAAAAATGATCGTGAAACTAATTAATCAACTCTAGCAATTAATGTTTTAAGATATTTCTTAATTTGATTGTTAATTTAGCAATATCTAAATTAAATTAAACTAATTATAATTTGTGAGTGTATGTATAATTAATTTATTTCATTTAAAATTTTACGAGTTTTAAAATAGGATTTATAAAATCCATATAAAATATATATAGTTATTTAAATTCATATTAAAATTATACTCGATAAACTTTATAAAAATTGAATTTGTATTGTGGGTAATTGATCAATGAATATGATTTGTTAGTTGGACTATTAACAAATACTTTAAATATTTTAAAATAAAATTAATTTAAAATTTTATATTTTTAAAAACGTGAGAAAAAGTGTGAGACTATGTGTGATTATTTTAATTTACTCAAAAAAGGTGAGAAAAGCGTGAAGTGTGGGAAAACGTGGATAGGTAAAAAATAAGGTATGAAATCGTGAGAATCACGGCTAAATACTGACATCTGACAACCCTGATTATACTACATATCAGATACTTGCGTATAGTGTTGTTAATTGGTTCAATTGGAGCCGATTTTTGGCGAACTAAATATTTTAGCCAGAAAAATATTGCATAAGCCTCTAGGTTTCACTAATAGTTCAAACCTTTGTGCCATCTATGAGGCCAATCTTTAGGCTTGCTTAATATTTTTCTGGATAAAATATTGAGTTAGCCATTTTAAGAATTGCCTTCAAATAGGGAAAAATTTTGTAATTTTGAATTATTTTGGCATTATTTTGCAAATTGTTTCAAAGGGAAATTGAAAACATAAATAATAAATATAAATTACAAATCTCGATTATATGATTTTCCAACTGATTATTTATATATCATTTAAATTTATTATTTAAAAATAAGCTCGTTTTGGATTTTTAATTTTTTTAGAAAAATTTTTAAGCACAGCCCTGATATTTAAAATTATGCCATTTTTGGACCAAATTCGGTGCCGGGCCTGTAGGTCTCTGCCATCTATATATTATAATATGCATAGATAGATGACAAAAGCTAATTATTTAAAGTAGGGATGTAATATAAGTGTTATTATATTATAATATAACTAGCTAATAAGTAGTTTGTGCATATGGTACTAAATATACTTTATTAATATATTTTATAAAAATATTAAAATTTAAAAAAAGAGGTAAATTTGCGAATCACACCTCATAAGATATTCTTAATTTAAAATATGATGGCCAGTCTTTCTTGATGGAAAAAATAAAAAATATATAACTAAGAGTACCAGAGCTCCCGTTAGTCAGCATTGATGAGCCCGTCAAAAATGATGATGAATGAGAATTTTCTCCTTACTCTTATAATAGTTGTTACCTGTAATTTAAAAATAATATCCAATTTTTATTCTTTATAACCCCCTCTCTCTCTTCAGGCCAGGTCCAATCCATTAAAACTAAGTGAAAATGCTATGTTAGTCAAAATATATTTAGAGCTTTTACTTGATACCCTATCAATATTATTTGTTAAAATATTACTGATGAAAAAATTCCCAAGCAAGGTTCAGGCCATAATAATTTTGAAAAAATTTCCCCAACCCCAACCAATGATCTTTTGGTAGTTGAGAACTAGAATAAAATATGGGCCTTGGTTTTTTGACCAGGCCAAGCCCAGGGCGGCAAAAAAAATTGTTTTAGTTGAATGTCTGCATAATTAATAGTAAAAAACCAAGCGTCCAAGCTGATAATAATTTGAAAAATTTCCCCAAGCCTAGCCCAATATAATTTATAAAAAAAATTTCCAAGCCCATCCTAACCCATTATAATTTTTAAAATTTTTCTCAAACCTGGCTAACCGATAATAATTTTGAAATTTATTTCCGAAGCCTGGAGCTTCCGATAAAAAAAAATAAATATTGATATAATTACTTTATCAAAATATAGTTTCATTTATAAGAAGAATTATATTACAAAATTTAAGATAAAGGGGGGCTGAGTTGGAAGGACGTTTGCCTATGGAACGTTAACTCTGGGAATCGAGTTGATGTATAAAATAAATTTAAAAAAAAAATTTGACATTAGAGGTATATAGTCTCCTTCGATTTATTAACATTAAGATGATAGAGAGTTGATAGAAAAACTAAAAATAACATTAAGATTATAGGAAAACGTTCATTTCTTGATTACGGAGATTATAAATATTAGATTATAATGATCAATTTCGGAAGAAAAAACTATTAAAATTTAAAAAAGGTTATTTTAAATGTCATAAGCATTATATATAATTATAATTAGTGCTATTTCACTCTTACAAATAAGTAAAGTATATTTTGCTTAAAGAATACTTAAGATATAGACATAAATTATAAGTTTCCTTATAAAGTTATTAAATTTAAGGTTCACAAAGCAATGTTCTCTCTTCTTTAGAGTTATTTCTTTTATAGCTGTTCATTTTCTTTCCCTGAGAGAGACTGTCTCTTAAACTTGATCAATAAACACACTTGAATGGTCATCTTATAGATATTTGGATGCTCCGATTTTGGAAATCGAATATTTCATTTATTCAAATAATATTTTGCAAATATTAAAATAAAATTAATCGAATACATTAAATCGAAATTATTTGAATATTATTCAATTATTAAATATTTAGGAGTACTAGTTTATAATATAATAAAAAGAAGTCGATATCTATGCTATATAATTTTAAATATTACAAAAAGAAAAGAAAATTATTTATGAGCTTCTTAACCTATTATTTTATCTTCAAAAAAAATTCCCCAAAATTTAACTAATTATCGTTATTTAAATATATAAATATTTTAGGAAGTATCAACAAAATTAAACACGTTCCATATCTTTTCACCCTTCTATGCTAACTGGCAAAAAAAGTTAAACACCCGAATATAATTCAATTATTATAATATCATAATTAGCATGCATATATAGAAAGAAATAGAATGTATAATTATTTTAATGAGGACTTAAAAAAATGTTACAGTATATATTTATTATATGCTAGCGGCAATGTGTTTTCCCCGGCAATGTGTTTTCCCCGGCAATGTGTTATATTTTCAACTTAAAATTATTTTTTTGAGCGCATTTTTTTTTAAATTTGAAAATCTGATTTTAAATGTATTTTATCATGTTTGGAATACCTATCCTATAAATTTCAGACAATTTTACCATGAACTTTCGAATTCAATATAATTTATATTCGTTTTTCCATAAATTTTTTATATAGATTATAAATGATTCAAAGGTTAATGGGAAAATTGTCTCTAATTCATAAGATAAATATTGTAAACATCATTTCCGGTAAAATTATGATTTTATACATCGCACTCAAAAAATGATTTAAAATCGAGAAACTAACATTGTCGGAAAAATTCTAACATATATACATATATAAAATATAGTATAGTACACTATACACAAAAAAGATATTATACTCTCTTATAAAAAATGAAAAATAAATATTTGACTCATTCATATTATACAGGCAATCGGTGTCGGTAAATAACCAACATGAATTTTTTTTAAATATGACTTTAAAACTTATTCATAAATTGTTGGATAAGTTATAGTGTTCTATATTAATTTTTTTTAGGAGGGGCATTTAAAAATATATTTATTATATTTTAAATAGAATATTACAGCAAATATAGAGGCAAAAATATGTATATAAAACACTATAATACTCATCCGACGATATATGCGTTTGCTAAAAGAATATTTTTTCTTTAAACAAATTTAAAAATTGCGTAAATTAATATTTTTTTGATATAAGCCCTAGTCAAACAATTTTTAGATTAAATCTAATATATGTGATCTCCACTATCCTAGATTAGTCTATGACCCAAATGTAAAATTAAGTCAAATATAAATAACCTTTTAATATGATTCTATTTACCGATATTGGATTTATGTAGTTTGTAATTATAAATATTTATATCAGAGTTTTATGGTCGAAAGAAAGAAGGAAGGAAGGAAGGAAGGAAGGAAGGAAGGAAGGAAGGAAGGAAGGAAGGAAGGAAGGAAGGAAGGAAGGAAGGAAGGAAGGAAGGAAGGAAGGAAGGAAGGAAGGAAGGAAGGAAGGAAGGAAGGAAGGAAGGAAGGAAGGAAGGAAGGAAGGAAGGAAGGAAGGAAGGAAGGAAGGAAGGAAGGAAGGAAGGAAGGAAGGAAGGAAGGAAGGAAGGAAGGAAGGAAGGAAGGAAGGAAGGAAGGAAGGAAGGAAGGAAGGAAGGAAGGAAGGAAGGAAGGAAGGAAGGAAAGAAAGAAAGAAAGAAAGAAAGAAAGAAAGAAAGAACGAAAGAAAGAAAGTTAGGGAAATTGTAGGGCTAGATTTAAATAAAAATTTTCCTTGATTTCTTATAAATAATAAAATAGAACAGGATAACTTATGTAAAATAGCACTCCCGCTTAAGCATCTATGTTTTAAATATTTAGTTGATTCGCCAAATTAATAGCAGTAGTTTATTTATTATAAGATATTTGTCATTCTTGTGATGGAATCCAACATTAACTCATATTGATATTTTAAATAACTTCATCACCTAAATTTTTCTTCAGACGATTGTTTGAACATGAACAAATTCTTTTTAATTTTCATCTTAAATTTTTAAAATAAAAAAAGTTGTGACGCTCTTACATATTATAAACGTCGAAATTCATTCCCACACCACGTATCTTGGGAAAGCATGGAAAGTGGTTACAACACAAATTACGCAGGTTGAAAATATTTAAATATTTATTTTCATCATAATTCAATCAATATTATTACTATAAGTTGAATCTACATGTCCCCAGCCCTAGATAAAAAAATTATAGACCGGGCATTTAAATTTTAACAGACGGGGTCGAAATAATATTTTTTAATTGCGGGCCCGTAAAACTCACATGCATAAAAATCTTAAAGTTTGTGCCCGGAAATATTTATATTTTATTCTATTAAAAATATGTACCCTTATACATAATAATCGAAAAAATAAATGTAATTAAAACCCGATATATCCAACAATTCCGGTGTTGATAACTGTGGGCATGTAGGAGTATTTGTTTTTATTTGGGGCTTCGGCGTGGACTTTGGCAAAGTGTAAATTATTTTATTTAGCTTAGAAATCAATATAAATGTAGTCCCGAACTAGGGAAGGCCGTTAGACCAATATATTTAAATAAATTTGGTGATTTGATAAGAGATAGTGAGTAAGCATTTTGTCCCAGGTGCTGAGTACTAAAGTTACGCCTTCGTCTGAGCTGTTGAGGTTTGAGGAATTCAAGGAAACATATGAAATGAAAGTCGATAATGTATTTTATAAATTTAATAAAATTCGAAAGAATACAGTTGCCTCATAACAAAAAATGCCAAATAAAAAAGTTGGTAAAAAGTGGGAAAATATTGTTTTTGATCAATATTTTTTTAATTCTAAGCTTCCTTTACTAAGCATATAATTGATAGTAGAAATTATATTTTTGAGCAAATTTGAGAAAATTAGATCTAAAGATGAAAAGTTATAAGCATTTGCCCTTTTACCCCAAATGCCATATAGCTCCGGTCTCGCCCACTAAAAAATTCACAATATTTTAGGGCTCTCAAGTATAATTAAGGGGTTGCTGATTATTATTTTGTCTTTCTTTTATGGCACTATTACCCGGCATTCACAGTTAACGTGGAAATTCGCGAAATATACAATAATACATCATATGTTGTATAATTCGCCACGAATTAGAACATATTTTATATACTTCGCAGCGAATTCGCGTTAATTTTGAATGCAGTATTGGAATATAATTCAATTGGCTTATTGACAACTGATAAAAAAGAATTGCGATTTAAGCACTATGGATCATATATAAAATAGATATTGAAATCAGTTGACTCTACATGATTTAAATTATAAGCTGTTTTTTGCTATTACATTTCATAATATATTATATAAAATATTTTAAAAATTATATAGGGGATAATGATGTCAAGACTGAAAAGTATAAACAATGGTCTATTTTCAAATTGGTAATTTAATGAAAATAATAATATAAATCATAATTATCAAATATTTATACAGTTTGACAAAAACGGCAAAAAACAAAAATCGTCAGTGTCAGAATTAGATGAGATTATGAACTCTATCAGATCAGAAGAAGGTGATTTCAAAAATAGTATGTTACATTATAAGGTAAAACAAATTCTATTCTTTTTTTTTATAATTAAAAATTAAATAGGCTTTATCTTAAATAATATACGTAAGGTAAAATTGCAAAAACTTTTTTGGCAAGCAAAATATGTTATTATCGAATTTCAAAAAAAAAATACAATATATAATCGTTGGGGTTTAGAAAATTTTCTATGCTTTATTGACTCGAGTCGCTTAAGAAAACTTTCAAACTTTAGTCATTTATAGCTATCGTTTCTTTAATTTGGAATAGATTATGATCATTTGAATTTCATATGATTTAATGCAGAAATTTTGTGTATCTTTAATTTAAGAAATATAAATTAAACATAATTCAAAATATCACGGCAAAATTTTCTATAAATTTGCCGGTGACGTACTCTATACTAGAGAGCTGCAAAGTTAGGCCCGGCCCGCCTAATTTTATTTAAAATAATTAAGTTCGGGGTTGGACCTTGGAAATTTTTTTAAATATATCTAAATTTATCAATTTTATATTGAATTTTTTATGTAAAATAAAAATTTTTGATTTTATTTATTGAAACTAAACGCCCTATAACATATGTCTTTTATTTTGAGTAATTATAAAAATTAATTTCTATATTTAATTAAATTCGGGCAGGGCTGGGCCGCTAAATTTTTTTTAAAATAATTTCGGATACGAGCCGGGCCGGCAAATCTTTTTTAAAAAATTATGGGTTCGGGCCGGGCCGGCAAAACTTTTTTTAAAAAAATTTCGGGCCGGGCCGTGCTTGAAAAATTAGGCCCGATGCAGATCACTACTCTATACGATTCCAACAAAATCAGATCTTACAAAATTAAAAGAAAAAAGTTCGCTACATAAATAGTGTTTAAAATATGTGCTAAAAACTTAGATTTAACATTATGTATATGCATGCTAGTAAATAGCTCGTAAAAAAATGGGTTAATTATGCTATCTACCTTAAGGTATTACTTATCAAATTTGTATTTTGTTTATTTTTCATTTGGATAGGACTACCAAATATATTTATAATATATATTTGAAAAATCATGATTTTTGTAAAGCGTCTGTGGCCTAGTCAGCGAGAACGTTGCTTACCAATCCTATGATTTTGGGTTCAAATCCCAGCAATGATAATATTTTTTTTCTTAATCTAACTTGGTGGTTCCGTCCTTGAGGGATGATATATAAAAAGCCAGACTCGACCACGTTTTTCCGTTTTAATATATGTTAAATAATAAGGGTCTTATTACATTTTAATAAATTTTAATCACGATTCGCTCGGTACTGCCTTTGGTTTTTGGTAGTAAGCATCATTAACCATAAAAATGATGGATGAATCAGAAATTTGTCTTTTCATGAGGTATGAATCAGAATACATAGGAGAATGTGGCATGATTGGCCATGTTTTTACCTTTATAAAAAAGGCATCAAGATTTGGGTTTAACCTGTGTCTGTATAGCCTAATTCCTAATCTTTAAATAAAATTTGAATCATATCTATATTAGTTTATGTGCTAGATGAGTTTATGTGAAGATGTTTTTCTGGCCAGCCAAAACATAATATGTATTGACTGGCCATATACTATGTGTTAACTGGCTATAATATATATTTAAATATTTTATTTATATGAAATATTACAATACGAAATACTTGTTAGAGGCCTATGTTAATTTCTTCATTTTTTAGGTATATGAAAATTTAATTATACACAACATCCAAATTTATCATCATCTATTTAATGACAATATTTTATAAATTAATATCTTAATTATCTTTTTTTTAAACATTCCTATTTCAATATAAAGTTAATCACTATCTATTTAAATTTAATAATTTTATAAAAATTATTATCTTAATTATTTACATGTTAAAATGGTTATTTCAATAATTAAATCATTCATCAATTTAAAATATTTTGATGCTCAAATATAAACTTAAATATTATTATGAATACACAGTAACATTTTATGTTATTTAATTAATTTATAAATGAGAAAATTTTAACATTTTTATTTACATAAATAACAAACAAATACATTATTATTAATACATTAAGCATGAACCTATTCTTTACAATGAATAAATTTAATTCCCTCTTTCTTGCTCTAGGAATATTTCTTCTTGCATATATTGTATAGCCTCTAGGTATACTTAACTCATAAAATCATGTGAAAATATTTTTATCAAAAAATTAATCATCTTAAACATAAAAATTTATATAATTAAATCTATGATAACTAATTATTTAACAGATAATTCTTAATATATAATTAATACCACTAAGAATTGCTCTAACAAGTAAATATAATTAATCTATAATAACTAATTATCTAACAGATAATTCTAACATGTAATTATTATCATTAAAAAATGCTTTAATATATTTATAAGTTTTAACTATTTTATGCTAAATCCCATTAATGATTTTCGAAGAATTTGTTCATCATTTTTTCACCAAATGTTGGTTTATATAAACTTTTTATTTCAATGAGATTGTATGAATTTTGGCCAGACAATACTCACCTATCTATTATCATAAAATGCCTTATGCCTTAATATATTAAATATATAAGCTCTAATTTTTTGTGTGAATATTGTTAAATGCTTAAAGATAATATTTATATAAAATATCAGTATCCTAAATTAGTAATTTTTTCACCAAACAAAAAAATATAAAACACGATTTTTCTAGAAAGAGGTACTAAAAATAGTTTATTTAAGATATTTTTTTTATTGGATTGCTCTAGTCAATAAATGAACTTAGGTAAGGTACCTGATAAATACAAGCATTTTGACTAATTTTGAGAGAAATTGGTTGAATAGAAAGGGTGGTGGCCAGTTGACCATTTATGCCACATCTCCCCTACGCATTGGCGTACGCAGCGGGGGGGGGGCAGGGGAACCCCCCCCCCTTCCCCCCCCCACCCAAAGCCAAAAAATGCAGATGCCGGATATATTTTTCAAAAATATTATTGTTTATATTAATTTATATTTGTTAATATTTATTCGTATCTCATATTAAATATATATTATATTACATTTATTATCACATTCATAAGTTATTTTATCAATTAATTTCGATTTCAAGTTTTCCGGTGTAATATTTACTTATTATTTTCAAATTTTTAGTGGCGTAATATTTATCTACCATTTTCAAATTTCTAGTCAAATAATAATTATTTCTGAAACTTCTGGTCCAACAGGGAAAAAGAAATTGCAACCTTGTCCAACGAGATAGAGCCTCTTCCATCAAGCACTAACAGCAATTAAGGAGTTAGAATAGCCACTTATTTGCTATTACTGAAATATTACAATGGCCTGAAAGAAATATTTCCTCAGAAGCAAGAAAATTATTGGATTCAATGCTTATTACAAATTTTATTTCTCATTAGAATGTATTATTTAATATACAACTATTTTAAGTATTACTTTTCAAAAACATGACAATGATTTGATTAAGAAGATGAGAATAGCGGAGAGCATTTTTTCAGAACTCAAGAAAATTAGGGCTAATGTTGATGAAGAATTTCATATTTTATTGTTGAGTCAAAAGCAGAGCTATACGTGTTTAATATTTGTCTCCCTCGACAGCAAGGCAAGCTCATCGTTAAATTATTAATATAGGATCAGTAGAAGAGTTTATCCTAGATGCAGATACATTTATAACCCAAATAAATGAATTTTTAATATATCATGCAGCACTTACATCTGCAAATATTACTTCCACAATAGCCTTCAACCTTTTTCAGATGGTGATAGAAAAAAAAATATTTGTTAGATTTTTATTATGAAGATGTTAAAGTATCTTATGATGCCTTACTAGCTTAATAACTATGTTTATAAGATTAACTATAGTTGATATAGTCCCAAAAAATGGTATGGTAGCTCTGCATTATTTCAAACACATTTTAGATTAAATTCCCAATGTATTAAAAGGGTTTATAAACTCTTGCCATTAGTAAACTAATGAGAGAACACTCTCTTTTTTAAGAAGAATAACAGAGGCCTGCAGAAGTACCATTTGCAGGGCACGGCCCGAATTTTTTTTAAAGATTTTTTACGCTATTTTTAAAAAATTTTTTAGGCCGCTCGGTTTTTTTTTTAAATTTACAGGCTCGTCCCTGCTTTTTTTAAAATAAAATTTTCAGGCCAGGCCTGGATTTTTTTAAAATAAATTATATTTATTTTTGATTTTTATAGCTAATAATAACGATTTCAAATATAGGCTGTTTTAAAAAATACAGCCCGGCTTGGGTGTTTTTTTAAGAAAATTTAGGTCCGGCCCGGGTGTTTTTTAAAAAAAATTTTGGGCCCAGCCTTGGTATAATTAAAAAAATTAAAATATTGTCCGGCCCAGGAGTCGGGCCTGCAGGTCTCTGAAAAACATACCAAGAAGTACAACATATGAAAGTAGATTGAAAGGTTTTGATTTTTTGAATATTCATAGGCATTTGACGACAAGCAAGGATGAGATAATTCAAAAATTAGCTCAATTCCAACGAAGATTGGATTTTACATTGTAAATATATAACATACAAAATACAATTATTCCTAAGAAACTTTTTGTGTAAAGCATTTAAGTGATTTTTTACATATAATTTTTTTATAATTCACATTAATTTAAAATTGTGTATTAGGAATAGTTATTAGTCCTAATAATTTTTAAAAAACATTAATATTTCTCAAAAAAATTTATTATCCCCCCCCCCCCTAGACCAAATTCCTGCGTACGCGCCTGCCCCTACGTATGAGATAAGTGCAGAACTAAATCCTTTCATTTAGACGTGTTTAAATATTTATTTAAGCGATTTAAATTATATATATTTTAGGCATTATGAACACGCTTTTATATCTTTACGGAAAAAAAATTAAATATTTGGCTTAATCCAGAAAACATGTTATATTATTATAGATAATCCTATAATTATCAGTCATTTATATAAATTACAAATTCTGTATAATATAATTTAGAAGGTGCTGATTAATACTAGCAGAGTGGCGTTGCTAGCTTTTATCATTTGTATGCTAAAAAAGTTATTTTAAAAAATATATTTTAGGTATGCTCAAAAAAATGCTTTGATATATAAAATATAAGATTAATGATGCCACCCACTAATATAAATAAGTATTACATGGTATTCTTTATAAACTTTCTAGTATATTATATATACAATTATAATGATTATTTTTTAACAGAATCAAGACTGGACTAAGCTTTGGCCTTTGGAAAATTATTTTGAAAACGATTATAACCTTCTTTGTCATAAAGACAAGACGTTCCAATTAAAAAATGCAATTTGGGAATTGTATACTTTAGAATCGGAATTTTATTTCGACACTCTCCTAGTGCTCAGAAATGTAAAATATAATAGAAAAATAATTTTTATGTGATCAAATATATAATCATTTAGGTTTATATGTATTCTTTGAAAGCTATTCAAGTTGAAGGTTATCTAATGGATGCCGAACCAGAAATCCTATTTGGAAATTTAGAAGAGATATGCACAGTAAGTGAAATTTTATTTTAAATCCTTTGAATAATCGTTGCCTTGTTAAGATTTTTATTTTTGGAGTAACGTGCAAAGAAACTTTTATATCAAGTTAAATTAATTTGTAATTGCACTGGTTGTTATATATTATATTTATTTTTGTAATTTTTAAATGTATTGTGTGCTTTCAAATTTTCCTAACATAGTTACAATAAAAAATACAACTTGATTATGTAACCTAGCTATATGGTAGTTTTTTTAAGTTTTATAAATTTAAAAATTTCTATTTACCACCAAAAAATGTAAGGTTATATTATATTTATTTTTGTAATTTTTAAATGTATTGTGTGCTTTCAAATTTTCCTAACATAGTTACAATAAAAAATACAACTTGATTATGTAACCTAGCTATATGGTAGTTTTTTTTTAAGTTTTATAAATTTAAAAATTTCTATTTACCACCAAAAAAATGTAAGGTTACACAGCAATTTTGTAAAGACTTAATAAAAGCTATCGAAGAGACAAATTTTGATCTAAACAGGTTATATCCTAGACTTTTGATTTTAAATAAGGTAAACAAGTTTTTTTGTTAATATCCAAAATTAAAGCTTTTTTTTAAAGGATAAAGAGACGGGAAATCTTAAAAACAATGCATATCACAAATATTGCCTTAACTATTTAAACGCTCTTAATCATCTGTACATATTACGATACTTTGGGGATTTCTGCCAATATGAAACTGTAAATTGATAATATATGAAATAAATAATAATTCTTTTAATATAATTTTATTATTGAATAGCTCAAAAATATTTAATTTATGTAATATATGCCTCTTTGAATTAAAGAACTCGGGGCTGAAACTCTTCTATTAAATTTTGTAAAATATATGCTTATTGAGAATGACCCCCTCCCCAATGATTAGAGATATATCTTAGCCACTCTATTCACTCTTATTAATCCTGTTATATCTTAAAATTTACCAATTTAACCCCCCCCCCCTCCTTAACTAAGCTATTCCCTCCCCAACTAAGCTATTTTCAATATATCATTTTATAGTCTTCTTTCTCGTGTCGCTATTATTATAAGTTTCTAAAATCAAGTTTGTAAAACATAAACAAAAAAAACTTTTACTATAACTTGATATCTGTAATTTTTGGATAGGAAGAATTATTAATTTTATGAATATTCTAAGAATATGCTATATAATCAATTTTTTAAATTGATTTCGTTAAAACATTTGTTCTCCCTAAAAAATATACTTATCGTTCTTTATATTAATATCTTTAAATGTTTCGAATGATAATTACTAAATTAGCTGTGAAACGTTATTCTATAAAAATAAGAGCGTCATGAATATTTTTCTGAGGAGCAATTGCCCATTTGATTGGGCGGCATGGGGTCTATGAGCAATAGTAATTCAAATATAATATTTCTCATGACTTGATACTATTGGATAATAATTAATGAACAAACATTTAAAAAATTTTTAATGATAAAAAAAACAACTCAGTGGTGTCGGAATAACCCAATATGTAAGAAGAGAAGTTTATCGGATTTATTAATATCTCCTGTTCAACATTTCATGAAAATTCCACTGATTTACAAAAATATTCTAAAACGAAGCGATTCGGATATGTTAAAAGATGGATTGGGAGATATAATTAACGACTTGGATAAATCGTTACGTGAGTATTTTTTTTTTGATTTTATTTAGCTATAATTATTATTTATAATCTAGCTCACATTTATTTATGAAATATTTGTTAATTTTCATGGAATTACTTTGAATGTTGATTCAATTTGTCATATTTTATTTAGCTAATTGAACAACATATAGGCTAAATTTTGATAATAATAATTATTAAACATGTGACAAAAATAGTAAGAGCGAGAATCATCCATGATATGAACCCGTAAGATAGTCACAGATTTTATAAATATTTATGGTGATAATCAAAATATTTCAAATGATATAATAAATTTCAGTTGGTCGATTTGGGTTAATATTCGTACTAAAACAGTATAGATTGAACATCTCGTCATCAGTAAAATTGATTGAAAAATATTAAAGTAAATGATAATATTGAATATTAATCGGAACAAGACTCTGCGAATATTAATTATATGACATTGAATTTAAAAAATATTTTAAAATTAATATTATAGATTCATTTTACTATTATATACAAAATAAAGGTAATATTATCTTAAAAAATATTTATTTAAATTTGACCCTATTTGACAATATTTAACTGGTCAAATATCAATTGACCGAATCGTATTTGACCGGTCAAATACACAAACCTGCTTTATCTTCTTAACTTACCTTTTAAATATTTAAAAATCTTTGCAAAAATTGTTGATTCATAATTTGACCTGCCTAGCACCATTTTATATTATAATTTAAGGATTTATCGTCTTAAACATTTAGGTATTATCGGTATAACCCATCTAATTTTATTTTAATTCGAAAGTAAACCTGGCGCATAAAAAATATAATTAATATATAAAATAATGGAATTTTTTATAAAGTTGGGGAGGGGATTATGAAAAAAAAGAATTATTTATGGTTATTAATATTAATTTTTATTTTTTAACGATAACTAATAGAAGCGCTGGAGGAAAAGATGAAGTGGATGAAAAATTACAAACAATTACAAGAAATAGACAATTCTCTAATTTGGCCTCGTATAGAGAATAACAATAGATTCGGAATATATTCAGAGGTAGTATAATATATAATTATTCAAAATTTTTGATTAGATTTTTTTTTCAAGTTCAATTAAACCTTTTAAGATTAAATCAGGTTTAGAAAAATATTTCATATAATTAATAGAGATCGTGTTTTAATTTATTCTTTTGGCATCTTGCGCATCTATGAGACATGATTGAGAGAATGTCTGAACTTATAGCCACGCAAAGCCGAATTCCTAGTTGTTGAGTTGCAAGCCAAGGTTTTAAGAAGGGATTGCCACTAAATATGTCTTAAATCCTTCTTCAAAGCAGCATAGAGGAATGATAGATAAATTGGAAAATGGTATAAAGATAATCAATAGTGCCTACAATCATAGGTGCATTCTTTTTACATGGTTGACGTGGAAATAGTGTAAAATGCATTTGTGCTGTGCTATAAAGAGAAAGCCTCATCAAGATTACAGTCTAGAGAAGAGGAATAAGGAAGAAAAGCAATGTTAGCGAGCATAGGTGAGATGAAACCACAAATCGATAATAAGATTGGAGACATAATTTTAATTTCGCTATTGGAAGTTTGTAATGTGTGAATTCATAAGTCATTGAAGTTAAAATTGGCTATTTTTTTTATTATTTTAATTTTATACTTTGCGCAGTGAATTTAAAGATAGATTTTTGTGGATGTTATATACAATTTTTTATGAAATATACTTATGAGACGCAAGGATCCAAACGGGAACCTGAAGTTTTCTATCAGAACCTAAACGGAACCGCTATATTGCCTTTGAACCGGTTATAGCCTCATGATTTTGTGCTTATAAAATTATGTGCAAGTTATTATTAGTATATTACATTCTAAATTTTTATAACCATTAGTATACCACTATTTTACAACATTTAAATATTTTTAAGCCTAGGTGGTATCCTGGGTCGACTTAATTGCTTTTTAGTCTAGGATAAAAAGCCTTTGAACTGGAACATCCTATTTTTGATTTATTTTAAGTATTTGTATTGTTTTTTTTCGTATTTTTTTCTCGTATTTTTTTGTTTTGTTTTTTCTTTAAATTTAAATTTTTTCTTATGTTTTTATGCTTAAATAAATCGAATCCAATATATAAATTATTTCATATAGTAAATAAAAATAACACATCAAAATGTAATATTACTTATTAACAACTATAAAGGTGAACCGGGAGCAAATCTTGAGTATCACATAAAAGGAACCACCTTCTAGAACCCAATAAATTTCACAAAATATTACAACAAATAAAATCTATAAATCGAATGTAGGTATATATATATAAAAGTGTTTAAACCCGTTTTTATAGGTTCGAACAGAAATTATACTTTTTTTCGAACTGAACCTTAACCTTTATTTTTATCCGCCTAAATCGAACCGATATCCGTTTCGGTTCAGATCTCTGGACGAAAGGGAATATAGTAGTTTATCAAAGTAGATAGAGTATTACTATTATTAAAAATATCTAAATAGCTCCCATAGGAGAATCGCGGTGGGAGGGTGTTTAAATAAAATATCAAATTCGAGTAATCTAAAAAGTAGCATATTAAAGTTATTATAATTCTTATTATGATCAATTGTTTAGGTTCCAAATTGAGAAAAATTTGGTTTAGTAAAATTGAGGGCAATTCAAACTTTAGTTTAAAATTTTGAACTATCGTAAAATAAATAGTCAGGTATGATTCGATTATTAGGATATTATTATCTCTGACTATTTATTTCAATGTTTTGAACGATTTATGTGCAATTATTAGGTTATCAAAAAGCGCATCAATGCTAATATCAGGCCTCTGAGCATTGCAAACCCAAGAAGAAGAATAATTCAAGAGGGAAATTTGTCCATGATAGGTAATTAATCATTAGGATCCCTAAAACAAAATAACAATTAAATTATGTTATATTCTTCAGATATGCAAAGCAAGTGGATTGAAGTTAGGGTATTTCTTTTTGAAGATGTCATAATTATCGCAAAGATCAAAAAATCTATAAATCGAAAAGTATATTTATTTATATAGAAGTGGAGGCAATGATATTGGGAACTTTTTTTCCAAACCTAATTAATTTCCATAATATTAAACTAAAATATAGGCTATTTGAAATAGTTCATAGATATTTTATATAAAATTTGATTGTAAAAAAAAGTTTGTTCTTACTCTGGGTACGTTGTTTCACCATATGTAATAGTTGGTCCACCAAAGAAATGAGGGTCTAAATATAAAATTAAAATTTTATTTGTTATTATTAATACTGGAGGTTTTGAACTATATTTTATTGATAATATCTCATAATACGAATAGGGATTTTAAAAATTTCGGGAATTTAAAGTAAAATATTATTTAAAGATTATTATAATAAAATCAATTATATTATTAAATATTTTTAAATTATTTGTATTTGTTTTAAACAAAATTAAAAAATAAATATGCAGTAATTAGTAGGACCAACATACCTCTGACTTTACAAATATTATTCAGAATAATATTAATCTACGTAATATGATTCGGAAAAATTGTCAGATTAAAAAATAGGGTTTAAATTTCTCATTAAATCTATTTATTAGAATTAAAATTATTTATAAATCAAAACGGTAAAGCTTGCGAGTACTTTTTCCATTTTTGGTATGGTAATACACATTTTCCTCTGTAAAAATTAAATTACTAAACATTGTTCAAATCTCTTTTTTAGTCAACAATGTATAACGTAATTTTCTTGGTTTTAAATTTCCAATCTTATAAAATAATAGTTTATATTATAATTAGAGTGGACTGGCATTCCTCTTGCATTAACGTACTCCGGTCTGCCCTATATGTATTAAATTTAATTTAATAAAGCTTCATCCAAAAATTATTATTTATCTACAGTTTGCAAACAAATTTAAATGATTAATTCTAAAAATAATATCCAAAAATATATAATGCTTTCTAACTTATCTAAATTCCATTTGACTATTAGGTTTTTGTTTCTAATGTGAAGGAAACATCAATTTTTCTCAAATGTAAAAAATAAATATAAGAAGCATGAATTCGAACTTAAACATCTTGGATTATATTATTTTAGTCTAATTAGTGGCTATAGAAATCTTAACATTAAAAAAAAATTTAAATGAATTATTTCATATATTTAAAAAAGGATTTATCTCCTGGAAAGAAAAATAATAACCTCATCGGTTACGAGGTTTTGAATCAACTGATCGATGTTGAAAGATTGCTTATAGACGATATCAAAAATAATGAGGAAACTTGTAATAAATAAATACATTACTTATCAGTGTCGTACAGACCTCTTAAGACATTGACTCTGAGATCTTTTATCCCTGACGACAAAAATATAGAATGATGAATGATTTATTTATAAAATAATCATTGATTATGTATCTTGACTAAGAGAAATGGCCCAATTAAGATTGTAGCCAAAATAGCCTCATGATTTGAGAAATAGAAGTCCAAACCTTTCTGCCACCACCTATGAGTAAAATCTCCTGGATTACATAATATTATTTGGTTAAAATTTTAATCCCTTTTTAAAAATCGACCCAAATCGGGCTGTTTAACAACACTACTTCTTAGTTGTTACCCCTCCCCCTCTATATTTTAATGATGCAATTAATAGAGGGCCCTGAAATGTATATATATATTTTTATCTTTACTAGTATTTATGACTCAATGATAGAAAATTTTCAAAAGCACTTTAGGGGGTGCAATGTGTAAAACATTTTGTTGTGCCCATCAATAATTTTTTAAATCAGGAACCGTTCCGAAAATTTATTTAATCAATCGCAGCATAAAGAGTCAAAAAAAATTAATTGTTCATCTCATTTGAATTTAACCATTTTTCGTAATTTTCTTTGATTATATCAGTTAGTTATAACAAAACTATATTAAATAAAACTATCTATCCTAAAAAGATTTAGTTAAATTTATTTTTAACTAATCTTATTAAAATAATTATCTGATTAACATGAATATAATTAGTTTCATGCTAATGCGAATAGTGCAATTGTCCCGATCATACAAATACAAATAGTAAATTAGTTAATCTTATAATTTTGAATAGAATATGGATATCATAATTTTGGGAAGAATAAGTCGTCAAATGAAATAAAGGCATTGAAGGGTCAATTTGGTAGAATGTAGTGTGACACTGATACCAAACTTAAATTAATCAAACGATAAAATGGTGCCATCTTTAAAATAGATGAATTTGCCATAAAGTTATAGTTATCTCGAAGGCAATTGGACAAATACCATTATTCGGATTTTCTTATCAAATATAATTTTATACACTATAATATATTTTTTAATTAAGTTATAGGAATCAGAAACATCTTCATAATAACACATCTATCAAAACATAATGAAATCGTAGCCTCCTATTTACTTCAAGCTGAAAATGGGGAAAGCAAGGCATGATCATTTAATAACATAAATTATTTAATGTAATGTGTTTGTATTGTTTTATATAGTTGGCATCAATGCATTTTTTCCGGTGTTAAACCGCTCGAATTGAGTGGCAGTTTAAAAACGGCTAACTCATTATTTTAGCCAGAAAAATATTGCCTGAGCCACGAGATTTTGTTAATAGATGTTCATACCTTTGTACCATCTATGAGCAAAATCTTTTAAGGTTTGCTAAATATTTTTCTGGATAAAATTAAGTGAGCAGTTATTTTTTTCCCACTTTGTTAATTTTTAAACTTTTTCTCATTTCCTGATTGAATTCTTTAACTTAAAAATCTAACTTAATTGAAAATATATTCAGGCATGGGTAAAATAATATCTACTATATGAATTTCAAACAATTTTGCAATATAATTTTGAATCATTTTTAATTTATATAAATTATTCCATAAATGTTTATAAATTAAAAATGAATTATGGGTAATCTTAATGACAAAATTTTTAATTTACAGAATTAGAGATCCTACAAATAACATTTACTGTAATATTTAATTTTCTAATTCTTTTTAAAGTTAAAAGTATAACAAATTGTCGAAAAACACATTAATACTAACATTCTACAGAAGGAACATGAGACAATAAAATTATTAATATTTTTATTCATTTTAGAAAGAATGGGTGGCAAAAATAAAACAAGTGCACAAAACATGGTTCGAAAATATTATGGTTAAATGCTGCATGCAGGCCGACAATTGCAAACCTGAAAACCAAATCAATATACTATAAAATTTGAATAATGCTTTATGTATATACTATATATTCTCTTATGAATTATCATTTTATAACATTAGATATAATAACAAATATATAATTTCTTTAAGACCAATAAATATCAAATAAAATGAATCAAACCAAACAATCTTAAATTGTTAATTTGTTTTAATAATTTTTAATGTCTTTATAATATATATCATTTGTATATAAACTTTTAATAAAAATTAACAATATTCTTTTTTCACCCCAGTATCATAAAATTTGTCGAAGGTTTGGTTGCATATGTGTTGGGGCTCGTTAAATATTTATCTAAAAGTTCTATACATAGATTCCGACCCAATTTTCCCAAATCTTCTGTCAATGAGTTATGTATTTCCAATTTTCCGGTATACAAAAAATCTAGAATTTTTTCGAACAAAGCTCCTCGTATATAATTGAACCCAGGCGTATCCATATCAATGAGGGATATATCTATATCTGCATTTTGTGACAGGTATTCGTAGAATAATTTACTAAAACATGCTAAAACCAATTTGTGGCAAAAGTATGGACCAGATGCAGTTGTTATGACCAGATCGGCGAATTTGAAAGATTTTTCTCTCGAACTTTCGATGTAATTAGCAAATATGTTTATATGGTATCGAATGGGAGTTTTCAAATTAAAACGTTTATTTTTATTCTCATTCATTTTTTAGCAATAAAACCTTTCATTGAATCTATTAATTATATGTAATATAGCATCCGATATGAATTTTTTTTTCTCGACAATCAATTATTTATTATATAATTGTTTATCATTATTGATAAATTTTTCTAAAACTCAATCTTAAAAATTTTAAAAATTTTAAAAAGTAAGAATCAGATATTAGCAATTTAACAAGAAAAGAAAGGACAAAATGGTCAAGTTATCTGCAGTAATCGATGAAAACGCATAAGTGATTTATCCTGAAGATTGCTATTCTTTGTATTAAAATAAAAGCCTATAATCGCTCTCTCAGGTTCTTTTTAATGAGAGGAGCTATATCTGTTAAAAGATTCTTCGCTAAATTAGGGTATTTAATAAGGGTCGGTTTTATGAGTCTGCTGAATATTTAGCAATGATGATAAATTTGTATCGATATTATGATTTTAAGGAAAATAATTAGAAGGTTCTAGTGTGGTAAGAAATCCTGATTATTTCAAAGCAAGCGCTATTTGATTTAAAATGTCGCAGTTACCTACCAAGATTACGATAGGTTAAAAGAAATATAAAACACAACTTAAATTATAATAAAAGTAAAATTCTAAAATACATTTTTTACCATATTTAAGAAATTTTTTTAAAGTTACGTTTTCCCTTATTACTCAAAAACGCTTTATTCGTTACTTTTTAAATAAACGAAGTTACTTTACTATTATATTTTTTAGGAAATTATAAATTTATAGTTACAACCCAACTTGGCGATAAAGTTTTTATTGACTTATAAATTGAAAATTTTATTAAAATTTAATGATCATTTTTTAAAAATTTTTTTTTTTAAATTGATCATTTTTATATAATTTATTACATTTTTTATAATTTTATTTTACAAAAATAGGGAGGTTTTTTTAAAAAGGTATATTTTAAACTTGTTAGTATTAAAAAATTGAGCTTTCCCCATGATAGTATGAGTTCATTATAACTTTAAAATGTTGTTAAAAAAATTGAGAAATTAAAAATTGATTTACAAAAAGGAATTTTTTAAAAAATGGCTAAAATTTCTGACGGCCATAATCTTATAAGATTAAATACACTTGTTAATTAATAGAAATAGCAAAAATAATTAATATAAATGTATAAAAGATAATTTCATATTTTAGTACTTACATAACCACTGGCGTCGCTGTGGAAGGGCAAAGGCCTTTTCAATACTTTTTCAAATTTAATTGTAAACATATAATATTATAATAACTAAAATATTTTTCTGATCTAAACGATTTATTTTTTCGAATAACTTCAGGTCTGATATAAACTTATGGGAGCCAGGACTATCTAAAAAAAAAATTTTTAAATTATATCCATCTAAACAGTTGGAAAACCCATTTAATATTCATTTATACTGCTCATATTTTCAATATTCCAGTTAAAACAATTTGGATAAAAATTATTCAAAATATATTTTTTTTTTTTAAAAAAAAATGCGGGTTTGGCCTGAAATTTCAACCTTCCCATATCTCTGGTATTGTTTAAATGAACAAGTTAAATATATAAAACATCCATATCTTTGACACAGTTGTCTTTGGCTAACCCTATGTTATTCATATATCTTATAATTTATATTATCTAACAAATTGAATTTATTATTTTTATTTTAGAATTTAAAAGAAAAGATAAATTGCGAGGAATCTGTTGTAAATCAGAACATGGCGAAATATTGGTTAATATATTTAAAAAAAATTGCCAATTTAGTTTGAATTAAAACAGTATCTTACTACTACTAGTAATAAAAAAATATTAATTATTAAGTATAATTTATTTTTTATATATTAGAATAACTTTTATTATCAAATTTAACATTTTTTTTTAATTTTAAAAAATAAATATCTTAGCTAAATAAATATTTTAAGCTATTCGAATAAATCCTTTACAAAATAGTCTGCTCTGCAAGTTTTTAATTTTTAATCATTAATTTACATAACTGATAAAGGAGTTAGAACTTTTGGATAACTCTTCCCGAATAAATTTTATTGGGAAGCCTTTAGCCGGTTTGGCTTATCTAAAATTTTAATAATTTGGTTTACGCTTGAAACAAAAAAATGTTTTCCATTGTTTTAAAAAAATTATTAACTTTCAATTATCTTTTAAAATTTTTTTTTATTATAATGACATATTGTATTGTATTAGGTCAATTCGCGAAATTTTTGTCGCGAAACACATTTTAGTAAAACTTTTGCGGTGAATGTTTATCGTGAAGAAATTTTAAAGTAAAAATAATATCGTGAAACCTATTACGCGAATTTTTTTAAAGATACATATACAGCGAAAACAATATCGCGAACCCACTATCCCAAATATATTCCCACGAAACCTTAACTGAGACACTTTTGAGTGAAATGCTCAAAACTTTGATCTCGCACCCACTATAGAGAAACATTTATTGCGAACCCTTTATAGTGAGTATTTTATCGCGAATATATTTGCTATTCAATATATATCTACCAACATAAGTTCTTAAATCATAAGTTTTGTTTATTATATAAACAAGTGTTGGCTTAATTAAATGTTACCAATATTTGATGTGATGGAAAAATTACTTATAAATTTCTTCCGAAAAATATAAACCTAAAATGTAAATTATATAATAACTTCTAATATGATATATTTGAAACATTGCATGCCTTCCAAATATTTTTTTTCATATAATACACATTGATATAATTTTGACCACTCCCATTTTCTTTCCTTATTTCAATAATTAAAAATAGGCAAAGTTGCGATTAAAAAAAATTTAAAATAAATTTGTAACTGTTTCTGTATAGAGAGAGAGTTAGGGATATCTTGGAAATAAATCATTTGTATTCCAGTTTATAATTGTTTTAATTTTTTGTTTTCAAAGTAAATTGATGTTATTTGATGATATTTATTCCCCAATAGTGCCAAATATATGTATTATAATATTTATGCTTTATAAATAAAACTCGATTTTTGTTTACTGACCCAAGACAGGAGAATCAATAAATAAGCAATAAACATTGAACAGACTCTTATTTATTAACATTTTTTATTTCAAGATATTACATATTTTATATATTTAATTTAAAAATGTATTAAGATAAATAAATAAGGAGCCAACCATCCATTAAAATAATTTTTAAACATTGGGTTGGAGGGCGGGAAGGCGGATTAAAACTGTTAAAACAAAGTTGGCAGGCTTGTTGGCTAAAACGCGCCATTTCAGACCTCTAACCCAGGTATCATTTTTATTAGTAGGGAGCTAGGTTAACTAATGATTATATATTCTTAATCTGGGCTCTTAATGCGTAGACTCCCAGGAAAAGGCTTAGACAGTAAAAGCCTAAGAAATTATATTCAATGATAAATTTTTATTTATTAAAGTGAAAAAATATTAAAATATTATCGAATCTATTCTATTTTTTAAAAATATTATTTAATTAATATTATCTTAAAAATAAATGTTTTAAAATAAAATATACCGAAGTACACGGTATTGCTTTCACGCTATTGCTTTCACGCTATTGCTTTCACGCTATTGCTTTCACGCTATTGCTTTCACGCTATTGCTTTCACGCTATTGCTTTCACGCTATTGCTTTCACGCTATTGCTTTCACGCTATTGCTTTCACGATATTGCTTTCACGCTATTGCTTTCGCGATATAGATTTCGCTGTAATAAATCGCTATATTGTCTTGGCAATTTGGGTTTCGCGAGAGTAACTTCGATATAATTTTTTTTATTATTGGATTCGCGACAAAAGTTTTGCTATTATGCATTCGCTTGAAAGAGTTCGCGATAAGATTCCACTATTGAGATATTTGATTAGTGGCGATATAGACTTCGCGGATTAGTATTTACCAATGTGGACTCGATAGCTTGGCTGTAAAATTCATTCGCTATAAGAAACATAAGCGATAAAAGTTTAGCAAAAAAAAAAGTGTTTACGATAAACGTTTCGCTGAATACTTGGAACTATATTGTATATTCATTTTTTGTGGAGGAGAGCGGAATGTTGGGGAATATTATTAAATTAAAATAATATTTATAAAAATTTTAAAATTTGCTAATTCTCTTATGCAACCACCAATAAATAATTCTACATATCTAGAGCTAAAGAATTATTAACAGAGTTGAGGCGAAATAAAGGAATAAAATTAAACGTAACGCTTGTGTATATAAATAAAATGGGAATGCTGAAGGCTCATAAAATATATCCAGCAAGGCCCCTATCACTATCTAATCCTCTACAAATTTTTAAAAATTTATTTTACCTCAAGAATTTAGAATTTTTGCCCTTCTTTATCATCTCTAGACGATCAAAAAAAATTTTAAATCTTAGAAGGATAAGTTAGATATAAAAAAAATTTCACTTCCTAAAACATAAATGGAAATTTATATATTTTAAAGAACCATTTGTCAATTTTATTTTAAAATAAAATTC